TTCCTGAAGACAATAAAGAGAGCCTTAGTGTGCCTCAAGACAATGAGTGTCAAAGTGCACAAGGTGTCCAAGGTAACAAAGACCAGCTCAGTATTGAACTAAAAGGTATCTCTACTCCAGAAATGAAAATGGTGGTTCCAGAAGAACAGTCAAAAAAAGACGGGCAAGCCGTAGACACCAGTAAGCTTCCAGTCTTGGAGGAAAGTAAAACAATGGTATCTCCAGCTTTGAGGGAGGCACCAACTTCTTTAAGTCAACTTCTTGATAATTCTGGAGCTCCCAATGTAACCATTAAGCCCCCGGGGCTGACTGGTCTTGAAATGGCACCGATGGTCACCACTGGTGAGGAGCTAAAGAAGATAGCTGTCATTCCTCCGCTGCAAGATTCGTCCTCGAGCAAAGACCCATCTAATTCACTTAGCTTGCCTCAAAATAATGAGCCCTGTTCAAATCCAGGGCACCAGGAACTGGGAGAAATAAACTCAAACGCTGCACAGAGTGTTCCTTCAGTAATGCCAAGGCCTGTCAGCTCTTCTTCTATTTCAGGTCCTTTACCCCCCAACCAGATAACAGTTTTTGTAACTTCAAACCCTATTACCTCTGCTGCTAATACATCAGCACCGTTGCCATCTCACTTGCAGCCTGCGTTAGTGTCGACTGTAGTCACAATGCCCAACGTAGGGAACAAAGTCGTGGTTTCTGAGGGACAGTCAGCAGCTCAGTCTAACACCCGGCCACAGTTTATTACACCTGTTTTTATAAACTCATCGTCAATAATTCAGGTTATGAAGGGCTCTCAATCAAGTACAATTCCAGCAGCCCCAATGACTTCTAACTCTAGTCTAATGCCTCAGTCGGTCGCGGTCGTTGGGCCTTTGCATATACCGCAGAATATCAAGTTCTCCTCCGGGCCCGCTCCTCCCAGCACATCATCCACCAGTCCTGTTTCTAGTATTCCCACCAGCAGGCCACTGGTTCTTAATCCCTTGGCACCTCCTGTTCAGCTGCCTTCTCCTGCTACAACTTCTTCCAGTGTTCCTTCACACCTTCCCGCTCAGCAAGTCAAGGACTTCAGCCCAGAGGAGCCTTCTTCTCAAAGTGGGTCGAGTGACCAGTGCTCTGTTACAGCAACGCAGTCTGGACCTGTTGTTTCACCTCTTCTTACGAGTAGCCCAGGATCTGGGAACAGACGCAGTCCTGTTTCATCGAGTAAGGGGAAGGGCAAAGTGGACAAGATTGGCCAACTCTTGCTGACTAAAGCGTGCAAGAAGGTCACTGGCTCCCTGGAGAAAGGGGAAGAGCAGTACGCTTTGGATGGGGAAGCAGAAGGTCAGGGACTAGAAACGTCGGTCCCAAATAGTTTAGGGACAGAGCAATCACCAGCAGAACTAGATAACAAAACTGTGACGCCTCCAGCACCCAGTCTTACAAAACAGAGCACTTCTGGGCCTGGCAGCTCAGCTGTCAGCACGGCGGCGGCTGCTCCTGCCTCCGCGTCGCCAGGCGTACCCGCGAGCACTCCTCCGACGAGCGCGCTCTCGGCCGTACCCGCTCCCCGAACCCCCGGGCACGGC